TTGGTTTGGGGCAACATCTGTTGTTGGGCATTGTACCCAGTTTGTCCGTACCCATTTCGGGCGTCCCAAAAACGCTGAAGGAAGGACCGCTTCGGGTACGGAAGGGGCTCGCTGTTCCTGGAGTCATTCCGTTGCTGTTCATCTAGCTCTCCTCGTGCAAAAAAAGGCTGCGTTCCTGGTTTCGCGTGCCTTCTTTCAGCAGGGCGACTGTAGATAAGGGGCGCGTGGTCTCGGCGTTCGATCTGCTGCTGCTGGCGCCTCGAGCAATTCCCCCCGCCGGGTGTCTTGGCTGTGGGGGCGGCCCTCCCGATGTGGGAAACAGGATCGGGAGGGCGGATGCCGGATGGAGCTGCGGCTGCTTCCGTCATTCGGGGGCAACGATAAGGAGGGGATAGGCATAGGGGGGGATGCATCGACCCCCAATCGCCCACTCATCGCCGATGGGTGCCTGAGAGCCCCAACTCGCCCAGGAGCGTGCGGATCTCACTCTGGGGAAGCCACCGCCGATCTGTCGGCGATGCATCGCCGACTCCATGTTGATGTTTCTCCCCCCTATGCAAGCTCCTCAGGAGGGGAAAAAACACACAGACACAATTAATCGTCGATCCCCAGGAAAATATGGGAAAATATGGGAAGTGGGGGGGAAGGCAGAAACCTTGAAAATATGGGGAAATATGGGGAATCTTTTTATTTGTGTGTATTTATTTGTGTGTCCTGGGGCCCCTCATCCTCCTCCTCCTCCTCCTCCTCCTCCTCCTCCTCCTCCTCCTCCCGCTGCCCCCTCGTGTGGTGAGGATTGATGTGTGCGTGCGCCACGTCGTCTGCTCGGCCAGAGAGGCAAGGAAGTCGGCGACGGAGCCTTGTTGTACGGACGCTCGGGCACCCCACAGCATGGGACGTCGGGGAGAGCGTTCATGGCCCGTCGGGCTCGAGGGGCGAATGAGCTCATTCAGAAGCTACTCCGGGTTTCTTAATTAGCGTGGGGGGTACCCCCCCGACGGGGTCAACCTCGCCTCGTCGTCGCGCCACGACTGGGGTCGGAGCGCTTGCGGCGCGCGGTTGCTGCTTGCGACGGGGGTCGATGTGGGGCTCTCGGCGGGGGTCCCCCCCCCCCGACGCCAGATGAGCATAGCATCGTTACAATCCGTTCAGAGTGGACCCGACGTGATTTCTGTGCGGTGGCGTCACCGAAATCGGAAGCGAGGCCCCATGTTGAGTTATGATACCCGGCAGGAAGAAACGTGCTTCGGAGACCAGAGACCTGTTCAGGGTCGGGGTCCCCGTTTTCGTTGTCGCATATTGCGAGAACGCAATCTGATCTTGGATGCAGCGCGGGACCTTGAGATAATTAGATACCTTTTTGCAGGCACATGTGCAACAGGGTGTTATTAGACAGTACTCTGGGACGGAGAGAACTGCGGTCAGGAATTTTAGCTTAGCGTGTCGCGCCACGGGTTCTGGCCCAGCACGCTTCGGCGCGACACGCTATCCACTTCCCAGTCTCAGAGCGTCAATGTTCCAAGCTTTTCCCAGCTCCCCGCCCCGAGGAGCTGAGCGACACGCTAGTCGCTTGCTGGGCATAGTGTGCGGGCTGCACGTGGCAGCACCCGTCTCACAACGGGCGCCATCTGCTCGTCCTTAATTGGTGCTTGGCTCGTACTGTACATCTGTACATCCTTACATGCACATGCATGTTGTAGATGTGGTTGTGCATCCAGCTGCCCTCGGCAAGTCCCGCCATCATTCCAGCCTGGTGAATCCAAGCTTTTTACGTACATTCATATTGCACATGTGGTTGTGTATCCAGCTGGCTGCGGCAAGTCCCGCCGCCGTGCCAACACAGCTTTCTGGGTGGCGACTGTTCGAGGGGGCACTGGAGGCCGTCACGCGTGACACCTCGCGCCCCCAAGCTTGGGAGAGCCGTGATGAGGATGATCAGGATGGATGAGGAGGATGACGAGGAGGAGGAGGAGCAGGAGGAGGAGGAGCAGGAGGAGGAGGGGGAAGGGGAAAGGCCGTCACATGTGACATCTGTCGTCTTCACTTCTTCAGGAGCTATCATTGAGCTTAGAGTTGGGCCGTCTTGGGGCTGTCTTGGGCTCCTGTGGGGTAGTCTTTGGGGCCCTCGTGGGTCCCTGCTGGGCGTCTTGGACTCCTCTTGGGCCGACTTGGGGCTCTCCTAGGCAGTCTTGGGGCCCTGTTTGCCACATGAGGGTGTCTTGGCGCCGTTAGTTATGGGGCCATCTTGGGGTCGTCTTGGGCTGTCGACGGGCCTTCGAAGGCCGTCTTGGGCCTCTCCGTAGTGTTGGAGGCCTCCTGGGCCTTCTTCATTAGGTCTTGTTGGACCATCTAGGGACCCTCTTGGGGGCCTCTTCGGCTGTCTTGGGGCCATCTTGGAAGCCCCCTGGGCCATCTTGAGCTGACGGGCACCTGAAAAGGCGAGAATGCGAAAGTCGTGCCAACGCTTTCTAGGACATCCATCGATCCAGCACCGTCGGGCCCCTGCTGGAGGTCCTCCTGTGGCACTGCTCGTGCCATCCTTGGAGGCATCCTGGGCCGTGCTGGGGCAACCCTGGGGCCCGCCAGCCTCGGACGTCTCGGACGTCTCGGGAGCGCGGATCCATCGCTGTATTTCCCGAGGGGTCGGCCTCGGGAGCGCGGCCCCGCAGTGCTTTCTTGCGATGGGTCGTGGCCTCGGGGACGCGGAGGCTCGGAAGGATACAGAGCCCCTGCTTGTCAGGGCGCCCTTCTCAGTCTGCCGCACCCCCGCGTGCCAGGGGTCTGGTTTAAGTCGGGCATGTCCCTCTACAGGGGGAAGAGGCAAACGCAGTTTTAGAAAGTCAGGGGGCGATTCTTCGACTATATTTTACTATGCTTGATCTATGTTTGACAATTTTTTATTTTCCTCCAGAATCCGCCTGTACGAGGACACGCCCGACCTAAGGTTTGGTGACGGATCTTTTCATCTTCTGGAGCGCTCCGCAGAGCTGTCGCTCTGCGCCGGGCCGCACCCGTGCACACGTGGAGAGGTAGACGCGCGAACAGGTGGGGGGCGGCCATTGCGCGGCGGGGAGGTGGCCGTTCACAGGTGGAGGTCAACAGTCAACATCTGAACGTCAGCAGGTACCCAGGCCTCCTCGAGTCATGGAAAAATCACGGTCGAAGGTTTTCTGTTGTCTTCGGCCCCTGGAGGCCCTCACAGGGCTTCGGGGCCGTCAACCAACGACTCAGGATGAACAACTGGTCCCATGGAATGTGTCCGGACCTTTGGGGGTCGCGTCATGGAAAAATATGGCGTCGAGGGTCTGGGTATACGCTAACATGTGCGCGTCAGGAGGTGGACGTGCCGGTCGAGACGGCCACTCCGATCAACACCAGCGCAGAAGCTCGTGCGCTTCGCAACAGCAACGCGGAGGAGGGCAACGCCGACCCCTGAAGCTGGCGGGCGGCACAGCGATAGGCAGGCGGTCTGAGCAGGCGCGTTTCCCGTCCCACCCTGGCTCGGTTCTACGAGGCGAGAGCTCTCCGTCCTGGATGGCCGATATCTCATGCCTTTTGAGTTCAGGTTTGCATCTTGGAAGAGGGGGTGGAGATCAAGCTAGGTGCGCTCGCGTCAGATCTGACATCCTACCCTTCCCTCCCATCCCTTACCATGGCGCAGATTCCCTCTCTACTCGCACAGTCGGATGTCGAGCAGGGCAATGATCCCGAAAGGGTACGCGATGCATTGTAGAGCACGGCATGACATGGCGTAGAAGAGCACCGCAAAGCGTAGTATAGACCTAGCATTGCATTGCACGCCGTGGCATGGCACGGGAAATGACGCCAGCGCTGCAGCGGGGCGGGAGCACGAGTCGAATTGAGCGGAAGCGCGGAAATGAGGCCCGCGCTGCAGCGGGAGCACGACTCGGAACGAGCGGAAGCACGGAAATGAGGCCAGCGCTGCAGCGGGAGCACGATTCGGAACGAGCGGGGCCCGAAAATGAGGCCGACGCCTGAGCGAGAGCAGCATTCTGAAACAAAATGCAGGCGAAAACTCAACTCCGGGGGAACTTGTGTGTAAAAAACAGTACGCGGGGGGGGTCGGACATTTTCAAACCGTCATCAGGGGAAGAGGGAGAGTAGTATTCATATTGAGTAATTGTGGAGGGGCAGACCCGTGCTTTTTATCTCATGCATTAGCTGTCTTTCGTCTCTTCCTCCACCCCGCCATCGGTTTTCGGAATTGCCGAGGTCCCATATGCGGTCTGGGTGGATGCACGTATTCCATGCCTACTGCTGCTCGTCCTGTTTCTACTACTACTACTTCTACTACTACTACTACTACTACTACTACTACTACTACGACTACCACTACTACTACTACTACTACTACTACTACTTCTACTACTTCTACTTCTACTTCTACTACTACTACTACTAACACTACTACTACTACTACCACCACCACTACCACTACTACCACTACTACTACGACTACTACCACTACTACTACGACTACTATTACCACTACTACTACTACTACTACGGCTACTACTACTACTACTACTACTACTACTACTACGGCTACTACTACTACTACTACTACTACGACTACTACTACTACTACGACTACTACGAATATGGTATAATACTACTACCTACGACTACTGACTACTACTACTATCAATCTACTACTACTACTACTACTATCAACTACTTAACTAACAACTACTAACCTACTACTACTGTATCTACTGACTACTACTAATACTACTACTGCGACTAGTTACCTCACTACTACTACTACTTATACTACTACCACTTCTACAGCAACTACTACTACTACTACGACTACTACTCATATTACTACTACTACTACTACTACTACTACTACTACTACTACCGCTACGAATACTACTAGTACTACCACTACGACTACCACTACGACTACTACGATAACACTGTAAACTACTACTACTACTACTAATTCTAATTACTACTGAGAGTTACACTTAAATACCAGTACTACTACTACTACTACTACTACTACTACTACTACTACTACTACTACTACTACTACTACGACACTACTACTACTACTACTACTACTACTACTACTACTACTACTACTACTACTACTACTACTACTACTACTACGACTACGACTACTACTACTACTACTACTACTACTACTACTACTAATAACTACTATTACTACTACTACTACTACTACTACTACTACTACTACTACTACTACTACTACTACTACTACTACTACTACTACTACTCCTATCACTACTACTACGGCTACCTTACGGCTACCGCTACCACTATCACTACGACTACTACTACTACTACTACTACTACTACTACTACTACGACTACTACATCTACTACTACTACTACTACTACTACTACTACTACTACTACTACTACTACTGTCACTACTACTACGACTACGACTGCGACTACACTACTACTATTACTACTACTACTACTACTACTACTACTACTACTACTACTACTACTACTACTACTACTACTACTACTACTACTACTACTACTACTACTACTACTACTACTACTACTACTACTACTACTACTACTACTACTACTACTACTACTACGAATAATACTACTACTACTACTACTACTACGGCTACCGACGACTACTACTACTACTACTACTACTACTACTACTACTACTTAATCACTACTTCTAGCACTACTACGACGACGACGACGACAACGGCGACGACGACGACGAGGACTACTACTACTACTACTACTACTACTACTACTACTACTACTACTACTACTACTACTACTACTACTACTACTTCTAGCACTACTACTACTACTACTACTACTACTGCTACTCGTGCTCCTGCTGCTGCTGGTCCGTCTCCGAGGTCCACAACCCTGCTCTGTATTGCATTTATCGCGTTGCGCCTTGCTGCGCTGTTTTAGTGCTGTCCATGGTATCTAGTATTCTCCATCGACTTTAGCGTGCTCATCCAGTTCTCCTCGATTCAGAAAGGGAATCGGTGCATTATCAGATGCAAAGCGCTACTCAGGGGTGTCGGCGTCCCCCTTGCCGTGCGGGCACGAACCGCACTTTCAGCCGCCGGGTTGGAAGTTTGGATGTGCTGTTCCGTGGCGTAGGCAGCCAACGCCTCCGAGCCTCAGCAGAGATTTACTTCCCGACGGATCAGCTCGGCGATTATTCTTGCATGCTCGTGAATCCTGGCATTTCGATTTGGAAGTGTCCTCACGGATTCAGTGCTCCAGGTCGGACCCTTCCCTCTGCCCCTTGTCAGGAGCCGAAGAATTAGTATCAGTCGCGTACCTGCGGATTCACTCTGTGATCGGTGATGTAACGTCTTCGCCTGTTCATCCTTTGTGCCACAGTCCAAAGATTTCGTCCTGCTTTCTCTCCCTCCCTTGTGTTCCTTCCGCTGCCTCGGTGCACTTGCCAAACAAGTTGTCGTGACCGAGCCAAGAGCTCTTCAGTTTCCGCATCCACGCTCTTATGTTCTTAGTTTACACACTGTACATTCCTGGGGCTGCCGTAGACCTGCATGTTCTCTGGTACTGCTATACTCTTCGTCTTGTTCAGCCTGCGCGATTGCTCCTGTAGCATGTAGGTAGGCATGCGTGCTATGCCGCAGAGTATCGAAGACGCCTACGCCGATTCACCGCCTCCCCCTGTCTTTTGGGAAGCGCCTCTGTGGCTAAAACGTTGGGCCCCGGCTTGGCCAGGCTGTCGGACCATGTATTCCCCAGCCGCTCTGGAAACTCTTGCGGGAACACTTGGGGGAGGATGAGAGAGGACCAGGAGAGGGATGAAGAGGAGGACGAGGAGGAGGAGTAGGAGGAGGAGGCCTGTAGGGAGCCTCGTAGGGGCTCTCTCGGGGCCCCCTAGGAGCTTCTTGGAGGCCTCTTGGAGGCGTCTTGGGGGCCTCCTTGGGCCTCTTCGGGGCCTTTAGGGCCTTCTTGGGTGCCTCTTTGGCCGCCTTTGGGCGTTCCTGGCCCGTCTGACGCCGTCGGGAGCCGTCTTGGGGGCTGCTCTGAACCGACTTTGAGCCCTCTTGGGGTGCTTCATGGCCGTCTTCAAGGCCATCGTGAGCGTCTTGGAGGCCTCTTGGGCCGTCTTGGGGCCGTCTTGGGCGCCTTTTGGGCCGCCAAGATGCCATCTTGAGGGCCTTTTGGGCCGCCAAGATGCCATCTTGAGGGCCTTTTGGGCCGTCATGAATCCATCTTGGAAGTCTCTTGGGAGATCTTGGGGCGATCTTGGAGGCCTCTTGGGCCGGCTTGGGCCGTCGGATCGCCGAAAAGATGGAAGTGCCAAAACCCTTCAAAACCTTGAGAAACAAAACAGCAGTAATGTTGACTTCTTCGGGCCTTCCTGGAGGAGCTCTTGGAAGCGTCTCGGCCCGCCTTGCAGGCCTCTTGGGGGGCGGCCGTCGTGAGGCCAGCTTGGACCGTCTTGGTGGCTTCTTGGGCAGACTTGGAGGCAGCTTAGACTACAGTCAACGCGCATAGTAAGGACAAACGACTTTTTCAAGGGTACCCTTGGGTCCTTGCCTGCCTCAACCACTGCGGCCCGTCCCTAGCAATTTTCGCAGGCCAGAATACTTCAACTTCGGCCTCCAAGGGTCTTGCGTCCTTACCACGCGTCCTTACAAAACGTTTTCACTGTACTTTTGGCCATCTTGGAGGCCAGATTGGACCATCTTGGGCGACCTTGGATGCCATCTTGAGCCACCCTGGCTGTCTCGGAGGCGATCGGGCAGTGTGTTCGGCGGCTCGTGCGGCCTTCCCGGGTGGCTGGCACGCCGGGCCGATGCCCCCGGGGGAGGTCCAACACGCCAGGCGCCCCGATGATAAAGCAACAGAAGAGGGGGAGGAGGAGGAGGGGGAGGAGGAGGAGGAGGAGGAGGAGGGCGGAGGAGGGAGGAGGAGGGGGGGGGCGGCGAGCATGGTGGGTGGCCTTTGGCCCACCCCGCCGCCGTGCCTGTGCCGTGGGCAAGAGGCCCATGGGAGGCCTCTCGGGCTTTCCTCGGAGGCCTGCTCGGGCCTCCCGGGCGCCTCCGTGGAGGGCTGCGGATGGCCACGTGGTCGGTGGCCTCTTGGGGGGCTTCCGGGCGACCTCCTCGGAGTGCGGGGCCCCGGAAGCCCCTTCGCGATCCCCCTCGCGCTCTCTCTTGGGAGCCTCTCGGGAGCCTCTCGGGGCCCCTCTCGGGGCCTCGTGTGCCCTCCTGGGGCGCTCTTGGGAGCTTTGGACGCTGTTGAGACCGGAGGGGCGAGCATGTGAAGCCAGTAAACCAAACCAACACGATGTCTTCCAGATAAAACGCCTTCTTGGCTCGCCCCACCAGGGGTTCAAGACGGCCCAAGAGGCCCCCAGGAGAGCCCCCGGACGTTCCCTTGTGGAAGGCCTTTGGGAGCGCGTGGCGCATGAGCTCCAGACGAGGCTCCCGAGGACTCGAGAAAGTCCATGCGGCAAGCCGCAAGAGCGCCCCGATCATCCCAGGAGTCTGGGGTCGGGAACCCCTGCTCCGCACACGCAGAGAGCAATATAACGTACCCGAGGGCGCTCCACTGAGTGCCTCGCGGCACGGTGGCGGGTCAGGCTCACCCGAGCTAGAGTCGGACCGAGGTCTATAAGATCGAGGTCGGTTCGGGGAGGGTTCAGTGGTGTTCTTCGTGTTCGTGAGATGTTCTTCTTATGCATCCATGCGAGGGTACCCTTAGACGTTCTGCGTGTTTTGGCCGACGGAGGGTCTCTTGCTCTTGAAGGATATGTTTCTGTCTTGGGTCCGACCCTACCTGAGGACGCTCCACTCGGTGCCTCGCGGCACGGTGGCGGATTAGGCTCACCCGAGCTATGCTGTTCATGAGAGACTTCGACCCGCTTTATTGTAATCGCATCGTGGGGGTAAATGAAGAGGATGGCCGTCTGGATTACCATGCTCAGGAACACGCCCACCTAAGAGGAGGAGGCCGTGGCGTCCCGGAGGAGGAGGGAGCGAAGGTCGACGAGCAACGGGTCCCCCCTTCCTGCGCCTGGTCTGCCAGATGGCCCAGTCGATTTGGACGCCCCGGTCCAAGATGCGGGCGTCTGCTGCTTGCCTCGAAGCACTGCCCGTAGGCCAAAAGGACCGATTCTGCAGTGGATCGGGAGGGCGCGCCGTCGCCTCGCCTCGCGAAAAGGCGCGGGTGCTGGCACCCCCGTGCTGTGTACCTGCCTCCTGTCGGCACCATGGGCAGGACGAGTCCTGCACTGGGGCTGCAGCGTGGAGGTGTGCCGGCGACTCAATGGCCCCTCCCATCGCCTTGAGATGGGGGGGGCCCAGCCAGGTCTTCGTGTGCTCGAGAACGGCCTTGTACCGCTGTGGATCGGAGCCGATGCCCCGGCAGACGGTGCCGTCGCGTCGACCCGCCCGCTGCCACCTTCTGCACCGAGTGCATCGCCGCGCCTCCCTGGAGGCTGCGCGCGAGGCGCCCTGGACCCCCATGCGGTCGGGCTGCCGTCTGCTCAAGCGGAACCCGTCCTCCGTGCCGCAGCGACGCCAGGCCCAGGGCAGGGCCGGGCCGCGCTCCCCTCCGGTCCGCGCGGGGTGCCAGCGGGAGGCCCGCTGCCGGGCCGCTCCGCGTGCAGTCCCCCGTGCTCCACGGGGCCGTGCTCAAGCGGAACCCGTCCTCCGTGCCGCAGCGACGCCAGTCCCAGGGCAGGGCCGGGCCGTTCTCCCATCCAGTCCACTCGGGGTGCCAGCGGGAGGCCCGCTGCCGGGCCGCTCCGCGTGCAGTCCCCCGTGCTCCACGGGGCCGTGCTCAAGCGGAACCCGTCCTCCGTGCCGCAGCGACGCCAGTCCCAGGGCAGGGCCGGGCCGTTCTCCCATCCAGTCCACTCGGGGTGCCAGCGGGAGGCCCGCTGCCGGGCCGCTCCGCGTGCAGTCCCCCGTGCTCCACGGGGCCGTGCTCAAGCGGAACCCGTCCTCCGTGCCGCAGCGACGCCAGGCCCAGGGCAGGGCCGGGCCGCGCTCCCCTCCGGTCCGCGCGGGGTGCCAGCGCGGAGGCCCTCGCTGCCGGGCCGCTCCACGCTGCCGGTTCCCAAGATGGGGCGCCGCGTGGTGCGCCGGCGCGCGGGCCTCCGCCCGTCTGCGGGCGGCGCGCGTCCAGGAGGTGCTGGCCGCCTGCTGCGCTCTGCACCCGGCATCGACCCTGGGCCAGCCATCTTCAGCCACGCCGATCGGCCCAGCCACGAAGACGGTCAAAAGCCCTGATGAGGACGCGCGACTTCACTCCGGGTGCCCTTGCTCTTCCTTGCTCCTCCTTGCTCTCGCGTCCTTGGGGTTTTCGTCGTCCGCCGCCCCAGAAATCCCAACGTCGGCTTCCACGGGTCTTGCGTCCCTACCGCGCGTCCTCAATGAGGGTTTTCGACTGTGCGCCGAGATTCCCGGCCAGGGCGTGCTGGAGCCGCCGGGCCGCGCGTGTCTGCTCCTGGGTGGTGCGCTCCCAGAGCGCGCTCGCTCGCGCCCTCGCGGCCGTGCCCCGGGCTGCTCCCGCGGCGACCTTCATGCCTCAGGAGGGGAAAAACACACACACACACACACAGACACAATTCATCGTCGATTCCCCAGAAACTATAGGAAAATATGGGACTCGGGGGGGAAGACAACAACCCAGATAATATGAGAAACTATGGGGCATCTTTTGATTTGTGTGTGTATTTATTTGTGTGTCCTGGGGCCCCTTCAGTGCCGAGGAGGCAGGCCGTGCCACCGCTGGCCGCTGGCGGCACCCCCGCCGCGGCGCCAGCGCCCCGTGCGCCCCCGTGGCCAGAGGCATGGAGCCACTGCTGTGTTATTGGCGGCGGTCTCTGCGCCCGGCCGAGGTCTGCGCGCCGGCGGTTCCGGGGAGTGCCCGCCAGGACGTCGTCTTCGGGGCTGGACAGGAACCCCAACAGTGACACGTCGATTAGGGGGAGGGGGAGGAGGAGGAGGAGGAGGAGGAGGGGGAGGAGGAGGAGGAGGAGGAGGAGGAGGAGGAGGAGGAGGAGGGCGTCGTCTTCGGGGCTGGACAGGAACCCCAACAGTGACACGTCGAGTAGTGAGTTGTCCGTTTTCTCCTGCCTTAGCAAGATGCACTCGCCGTTCGGGCGGCCGCATTTACCTAGCGAAGCAATTTCGCCAACATCAGACGGCAGTGCGCGTCCGAAAGGACTGCGCGGATCCGAAAGTAAAATGAGGAGGACCAGGAGGACGAGGAGGGGCGAAAGGAAACGGATGAGGAGGAAAGGGACGCCGACGGCGACGATAAGGATAACCCAGGGACCCATGAATGAGGAGGGTGGGCAGCAGTGTGATCGCGAGGAGTAGCAGGGAAGACGAACCACGGCGCCCTCTCGAGAACCGAACATTTCGGTTCTCGAGAGGGCGCCGTGGCCGTCATTTTCCGGGCTTGCGCCCGCCAGGTTCGGGCCTCAGGTCGTTTTCACTAAACCGCGTTTTGCTGAAGGGGGGTCTGTCCATTCCCGAGACGTAGAGTCGGGTGGAAGCGTCTCTGCACTCGTGCTTCACTGCTGAGCAGGGTTCGTTGTCGGCGTCGCCGCGGTCGTTGTCCATTTGAGCCAAAAGGCCACCTGCCCAGCAGCGGCCGCTGTCGGTTTTGGATAACGTTTGCTGTTCGGCATCGTATCCATGTTCCTCGTACCATATGCGGGCGTCGACAACTTCCTTCGGTGGCACCATGAGGACGCACCCCGCTGCCACGGGGCTGAGAGGATCTCCCTGCGGCAGGCTAGTGGAAACCGTCTGCAGCTGCTCATGAACACATCCCCCGTAACGCCTGAAGCGCCGTTGTCGGGTCCTGAGTGTGTGCGAGGGCAGAAGGTGTATGTGCCAAGTTGCCCGGCACGACGACCACGTCGAACGCCTCAGCCACCACGTCCAGGTGGCACAGATCGAAAGCCAATTTGTAGTCCCAGCTCGTGCATAATTACTCGTTGCAGTAAGTGCTGGTAGCTACCATCACCATCGCCTCGGCTGCCACCCGGTGGCGGCGTGAGCCCACCATGTTCAGACGTCTCGTGTGTGAGAAAGCAGTGCGTGTCGGAGGCGGCGGCACCACCGGACAGCATCACCTGCAGGGGGGGGGGGGAACAGAGTGGTATTCACTCTGCGCCCCTGCCGATGGGGGTAAAAGGGGGGGTGGGGCGGTCGGTCGAACTCGGCGGACTCAATGTTAAAGGCTTCCGCCGCGACAGCCACAGATCGGTACTTGTGTTCCGACAGCCATGCCCGGCTCTGAGACCTAGGCGGCCCAACGGGAGGGAGGAAGAGGAGGAGAAGGAGGAAGAGGTGTAGGAGGAGGAAGAGGTGGAGGAGGAGGAAGGGGGAGGAGGAGGAGGAGGAGGAGGCGCGGAGGAGGAGGGAGGATGAGGGGCAACGTTCGGGGGGAATACGCTCAGGGGAGGGAATGCGTCGATCCCCGATCGCCCCTTAACCGCTGATCGCGAAAGGTGCCCTGGAGTAGCCCACCCCGCCCAGGAACGCGCGGATGCGCAATCCAGGCCTCTCGCCGATGCCTCGCCGATTCCAGGACGACGCTTCCCCCCACCCCCTCGACTCGAGGAAGAAAGAACTTTATACACATAAACTTTTTGCGCTCCGTGCGGATTTCTTGGATCTGCACTGGCCCCCCCCCCCCGGCGCCTCCGGCGCGCTCGGCGCGCCAGGGACGGGGCGGGGTCCAGCGCAGATCCAAGAAACCCGCGCGTCGCGCCAACAGTTTGTGTGTATGCCGTTTTCTCTTCTTCTATGCAGTGGAGACCCATGCCAAGAAGCACCCCGCTTGCCTCCAGGGTGCCCTGGGTCTCTTGGGCTTCTATGGCCTTGCCGTGGGAGGCGTGACTTCCCCACGCCAGGAACCCATGGACGCCCTGCAGTCGGGGCCCTGAAGAAGGAACCCTTTGGGTTGGGGAGGGGCTCCGCGTTCCTGAAGTATTTCACAGTTTGCTTCAAGTTTTCCTTATGTTTTCGATGGGAAATCGAAGTTCAACTTATTGTAAAAAGGGGCCTCGTTCCTTATTTGGGGTTCCTTAGGTCAACGCCCCGACGGTAGGGCCTCAGGGTTGGGCCTCTTGTGGGAGGGGTCTCTTGTGGACTGGCCTCCGCCGTGTACCGGCGCTGCCCCTCGGAGGGCGCGGACCCAGCGGCAGGGCGCGCCTCTCCGTGCACCGCGCGAGGGCACGCCGCGCGAGGGCCATCACATGCGAGCGCCGCGGCTCTCGGGCTCGCTGCGGGCCCAGGCTCGGCCGCGCCGTCTCTTCGCGGGGAGGCGCCGGCGCACTGCGCGTGCGCGGCGGCCCGCGGGAGAAAGGAGGCGTTCCGAGGAGGGCCTGGCGGAGGAGGAGGAGGAGGAGGGGGAGGAGAAGGAGGAGGAGAGGGGGAGGAGGAGGAGGAGGAGGAGGAAGGAGGACGGAGGAGATGGAGGAGGAGGAGGAGGAGGAGGAGGAGGAGGAGGAGGGGAGGAGGAGGAGGAGGAGGCGGGGGCGGAGGGAGGAGGAGGTGGAGGTGGAGGAGGAGGTCGAGGATCGAAGGAGTTGTCATCTGTTCCTCATCGGGAGGTGTCGGAAGGGCGGCGGACGGTCGGCGGAAGTAAAAGGAGGCCGTCTCCGCTGTCGGAAGCCCGCGGAAGCTCTGTGGAAGGCGGCGGAAGTAAACGAAACGCGTCCAAGAGATGGAAACGTGTTTGGGCAAGGGTTTCCGAAATCGCCCAAATATCGGGGCGATCGGCATGGGTACAGAAAGAATGGGTACAGAGACCAACAGCAGCAGTTCCTCTTCATTGTGAGCAGACTCGCTGTCGGGGGTCGCTGCGGGCGTGGTCCATCTGAGACGGGAGGCCGCCTGCCCAACAGCTGCCGCTGTTGGTTTTGGACAAACGTTGCTGTTGGGCACTGTAGCAGTGTTTACTGTACCCATTTCGGGCGTCCACAACAAAATCTTCGAAAATTCTTTGATTTTCTGTGGGGCCAAGATCCTTTCATGTCTGATTGTTCTATCCTGGGCCTCCTTCCTGGCCACCAGGGGGCCAGGAACAATTAGAAACGAGCACAATTAGACATGAGCACGATAAGAACTGAACGAAATGTAGCATTAAGTCGGGACTGGCCCTCTTCAGGAGGACTACTCAGTGAGAGGGGAGCCGGGCCCCTGCAGGACAACGAGGTCCGGGAGCAAAGGGCTCCTGGAGCTCCCCTGGGGGGCGCCCCGGAACGCGTGAGGGGCGTGCCGAAATCTGCGGGGCGGCCGCGCGTGGTGCACCCCCTCCTCGGGCCTTCGGTGGAGCTCCCTATGGGGCCACGAAGCGCTCGAGGGGTGCGTTAAGGGGAGGAGGAGGGAGGAGGAGGGAGGAGGAGGGAGGAGGAGGAGGGAGGAGGAGGAAGGAGGAGTGAGGAGGGAGGTTTTTTTTTTTACCGCCCCTGGGCTCCTGGGGCCCTCTCGCGCGGCTCCGGGGCCGTGCAGACGCGACTCGGGGTCGAGCGTGGCTCGCGGCGAGCGTCCCGGAGTGCAGGGCCGGTCTCTTCACCGGGACGCTTTGCCTGCATGCCCCTTGCCACACACTCTGCACGAACGAGATGGGCACGGAAAGAATGGGCACGATGCCCAACAGCAGTTTCTGTTCATTTTGAACAGGGCTCGCTGTCCGCGCCGCCGCGACCTGTGTCCATTCGAGACAGAAGGCCGCCTGTCCAACAGCGGCCGCTGTTGGTTTGGGACAACATTTGCTGTTGGGCATTGTACCCATTCTTTCGGTACCCATTTCGGGTGTCCAAACACACGCTCTGGGGCGACCCTGATTCCGGTGGGAGCAGGTCTGGATGGCGCAATTGGCGTAGGGCTCGTTGCGATTCCTCCGACTCGACGCGATCCGATTTGCACTGCTGCCGATTCCGACGCTTCGATTCGACTTGGGATTCCGATTTGGGCTCCGATGTCTTACTGGAGGCATACTAGCCTGCAGATTTCCGACGATTCGACGTTTCCCGACTCGGCTAATTACCGATTTCCGCCGATCCGATTCATTTCGATCGCCGGTCCGACTTATCGATTCGATTTCGGGCTCTCCTGCATTATGCTCCATCCAGCAGGACCCCAACTGAACTTGGCCTCTCCCGCACGACGCTGTAGTGATGCCAAGTCCGGCTGGAGCAGGTGTGGTTGGAGCCGAACTGCTCCATCTGATGAGCCTCCAACTCGACTCGGCCTCTCCAGAAGCTTCCCTCCCTCTGGCCCCGTGCAGCAGGGGGTGGCGCGAGTGGGCGGCCTCCTTGGAAGACAGGACGCCTCGTAGTACGGTGGGGGCATTGGTTAAGGAATGTGCCCAGTAGGCTTCAGACCCTGGAGGGTTCCTTGTCTGATAAGGGCGGATCCACGATTGCAGTTCCACAGGCTTCCAGACTCTGGATTCGTTGTCTAATGCTTCCTTATCCAATGCCCCCACCGTAAGTATCCCGCCTTCGCAGTGCCTTTTTGGAGAGGCCTCTGGTTCCTCCTAAGAAGCATTTGTCAGCTATTTGTGATTTCTCATCCAAAACCCACCTGTAGGAGGACACGCTCGACCTTGGGCTATGCGCTGCGAGCTGACGGGTGTCGCTCCGCTCCGCCAGGGCGGGAGGCGAGGAAAAGCTCGGGACGCTGACGCCTGGAAGCCGGGGAGTTGTTGGCGTGCCGTGCGGGAGCGTGGGGTGGGCCAGGCCCGGTGGCGCGACACGCGCTGAGCAAGAGGGCCTGACCGCACCCGCCGCAGGGCCCAAAATGGACGCACTGGATGCGAGCCCGCATTATGATGTTCCAACCTACTCTAGCCTTGATCACCAAAAATAATTTCGAGCACCAGGAAACCACCGAAACTGGAGGGTGTTTGACGTGTCGGGCCCTGGGAGGCGATCTCGTTCGACACTGTTTCGACATTTTTCTGGGTGTTCGAAATTATGTTTGGGATGTGGTCCTTGGGAACAGCATAACACTGGCTCCAGATCTCCCCAAACACTTCAAGATTTCACCAGGTTTCAGCCAGATGTGCAAAGGATCTGGAGGGCCCTTTCTCAGGGCCTTGGAGCATTGCGCTGGCGGGCTCGCCAGAGCAGGTGTTCAACAACGTGATCGCTTTCTTTCTCATTGTCTTGCCGATCGGCGCGGGCCTTCGCACCCCCCCCCTCCCCCGCCCCGTGGAGTAGATCGTGGTTGTTCTTGGCGCCTGCTTCGAACAGGTGGAGCCTCCACCACCGGACGCGCTGGCGCGAACAGTCGCACGAAGCAGAGGTCCGGAGCCAGACCCCCCCCCTCCCCCGCCCCATGGAGTAGATCGTCGTGGTTGCTTCTGGCGCCTGTTTCGACCAGGTGGAGCCTCCCCCATTGGACGCGCCCCCCCCCTTCCGCCCAGTGCCGACATGCCGAGCGAACACACGATCACCTCCTCGGGCCGCCGGTGTGACCGCTGCGTTGGGGCCACGCGCCTCGCCCCAGCGGGGCCAGGCTCGGGATCTGGCCGGGGATCGGCTGGGGTGCCGCGGTGGGGGGGGGGAGCTCGGTCGTTTCGAGCACGGGGCAGAGTCGGGCGCCTGGTTGATGTAACCTCAGAGCCCCGAATCATCAGGGGTAACTCGGGTCAGGGTTAGCTCGGGTTCGTTTTTCGGGAATCCGAACCCGACTTCCCCCGGACCCGAGTTACCCCGGATAATTCGGGCGTCCAGAGCCCCACATCATCAGGGGTAACTCGGGTCAGGGCTACCTCGGATTCCTTTTTCGGGAATCCAAACCCGAGTTACCCCGGACCCGAGTTACCCCGGATAACTCGGGCGCCCAATAATCTTCTACTGAGGACGACTACTTTTTCAGCGCCGACGAAGCCATTCACTTGCTAGATGCTCTCTTGCCCTCGTGCTACCGCGGCTGCGTAGATGGGTGTGGCAAGCTAGAACGTCGGCTTCCTGACACGGATTTCTCATTAAACAGTAGGGTTGAAGAGAAACCGCTTCCATCGGTGAATGGTGAGCAACAGGATGGATGAAGAGGATGCTCGAGAAAGAGAATGAGGGTGAGGAGGATTATGCAGAGCATGAGGAGCAGGATCAGCAGGCGGACGTTCATCCGCATTCGAAGATCATTCGTCTGGCGCACTGGACGGATATAGTATTCAGTTGTGAATTGTTAACGAGAGTGCGCCGCCACGGGGTCTCTACAAGGGGGAGCGTCGTCTAATCGGAGAGATCTGGAGGGGGCGAAGCAGCGGTACGGTACGCAGGGGCGCTCGATGAATGAGATGACGCGACGTCGAATTTGATGCTTCAGCGGGCTGCATACGCGGATCAGCAATCCAACGTTGTGTTGTCCACCCCCGCTTGTCTTTGCCACACAAGAGTTAATTCTGACGTGTTAGCGAAGTTTATGTTTTTCAACGACCATGGCACGCCGCATGGCATCCCTCCCATAGCATGAATGCGTAATTCAAAGAACTGGAGTCTGCAGCCATGACCATCAATCTGGATAAGGGGCTTGATGCGAACATACAGGCAATGGGGTAGTTCCACGAGACACATGCTGGGATGAAGCCGCGGCATGAAGAGCAAGATGGCACGATACAGGCTCAGGCAGAGTCCATGCGAGGCCATCACATGCGTCTCCCAGCGAAGTGGTGAATAACTGATAACGAGCCTTCAACATGCATTGACCGCAGTATTATACATTGGGGACAACCTTGCAATATGCTTTGGCCGCGATAGCGCATTGTCAGCAGGCGCATGCTGGGGTGCAGGTTGCGGATGCAAGTTGCGCGACGCGGTAACAGTTGATTAGCAGATGACTTACATCTACGTGCCCGCGCCAGTGCAGGTGCTCATACAGCCCACTGATTGACAGGAAACCAGAGGGACCCATGGCTGCCCCAGCGGCAAGAGTTTTTTTTTGCGCAGGCGCGCCCATCGCCGAAACATCGGATGGCAGCAAGGTTGCCTCTAATGCTCAGCGCAACCACAGCCTGGTGCGCCGTCGGATCGCTTGTTTCGACTCGACACAGCAGAGTTGCAGTTTGAAGGTGGGAGGACATCAAGCAGGAGGACGATGAACAGTCGGAGGAAAAGGCGGAACGAAGGGGAGGACGAGTGTGAGGGGCTGGTAGGCAGACAGACTGACCGAGGAACAGGCAGAGGGTGGATGGGCAGGCGGGAGGAAGAGGGGACGGAGACGGACGAGGAGGGGAAGAGGAGGAGGGTGGAGCACCAGGACGCTTTGTAAAACACGACGGTCTGGCAGGATGAGCTGAACAAGGAGCGAGGAGGAGGAGGAGGAGGAGGAGGAACAGGACGCATACCT